CCGATATCCGTTCTCGGAAAAGGACGAGCAGTCCGAATCGAAGACCCTCCCACCGCCAAGAAACTCAGATTCTATGAAAGTCCTGAGTCCGCAATGGAGGAAGACCCCGAACCAGCGTATTTAACCGCTGATGAACCACCGAATTCCCTCAACCTCTCCATGACACCCGCGCATAATTCCGAAGAAGCAATGACGCTGTCTTCAGACACCGAACTCCCTCCTGTGTTACAAGAAGCCCAGGATATTTTCATCGAACGAATCGCTTTGATCCATGAAGCATATCGTCGAAATGAAATAGAAAAGGAAGCACAAGACGCCGGGCCCAGTTTTGTCCGATTTATCGACATGGACAACTCCGAGGATGATGAGGATGAAGACAAGAATGCACCCTCTTCGCATGATCTGCGAATGGTAGATTCAGAAGGAAACGACTTCGAAGACGACGGCCCGCTCCCTGGCCTAGACTTCTGATTGGATATGATTAGTCGGTGACCAATGGCTTAGTAAGGGGGTGAAATCCTCCATTTTACTTATTTTTCCACGCCTACTCCACCCCGAACACTGATCACCGATCCCGAACTCAACCAACTTCTAACAGGTCCGGAACGACCTAAAACTAGATAAGGTCCGTAATGACCCTAAACTAGATATAGTCCGGAAAGACTCTAAAACTACGATTGTCCGTAATGACTTGAAACTAGACAATGAAAGGACGAACCCCGGAAAACTCCTGCAAGCTTCGGGACCCCTCACATCACTGCACTTCGACCACCCGAGTAGACCATATATAAACAAAGGGTAATAGAAGACGATCTCCCCGCTGGACGACCCCAAGAAACTCCTACAAAGCCTTGGCACCCACGCTCGGACCCCCACCTTCGACATCTAATAAAGAACCCAGAAATGGATCTATAAAAGATAAGAAGATTAGACCTCCGGAATGAGGCTAAACTATCACGAGACGAACTCCACGGAAACTCCTGCAAGCCCTTGGAATCCTCTAGAACCCATCATGGCAATGACGACCACCCTCTGATGACGACCTGATCTTTCAAACAAAGATAAAGGATGATAGTACCTATCACGGCACCCTCCCTCTGATAGCGAAGAAGAATCTCGAACACGAGTTAGCCTCATGGCTAGATAAGACGATAAGAGATAACGATAACGATAACAAGTTTAGATTGAATCGGAGCTTGGATTGATCTGGAAGAAGGTTATAAACCCTCTCGATCCTCGAACATCTCTCCCACAAACCTCCATCATCATCATGACAAACTCCATCGACAACGACTCTATCAAGACTGCACTGAAGGACTCCGACTACGGGATCGTCCTCAGAATGACAGAAAATAGCGCGTTCAATGAAGCCGCTATCCTGACCCCCGCGTACTCCCAAGCGATCGACGAAATCCTTGGTGAACAAGACGCCAGAACTGCAGCGAGCACCTCCCTCACCGTCTGCATTATACGAACCACGAAGCTGCTGGAAGATGTAGCCAATCGTGTTGACCTTGATGAAGCAACTCGGAAACTTGCTATACTTCATCTGCAATGGCGGATCAGAAACATCGCACTTCACTTACTCCCCCTCGACTTCTCCGATATCACCGACCTAGCGATAAAGAAAGTTGAAGTGAAACCACTTGTAGAAGAACCCCGCCCGGTACGCCCGCTAAGAAGAAAAAAGGCGGCTACCATAGATCGAACCCGCACCACGCTCTGCAAGCGCTGCGGAGGATATGGACATCAGTTCAGAAGATGTCCAGATTATGTTTGTTGCATCTGCGATGAACTAGGACCTGACCATCTGTCGGTCCACTGCCCGCGACTCAACGGACACATTGTACTCCAAGAGTTTAGCGATGAAGAGAAGTTTTTCGAAGCTCTCTTAGATTGGGAGCATAACCACAAGGCACTCGAGGATCTAGAACTTCAGCATCCCACTGAACTTTCCCCTGCCTCTGAACCTCCCTCAGCACCTTCCATCTCCACGTCAGCAATTCCCGCACCACCTACTGCTACGATGGAAGAAGACGTTTAAAGAAAAACAAAGCCGGTGACTTTGTGCGTAGTAATGGGGTAATGTTACAGTCACTACGTGAGCCCCCAGCTACACGACTAGCCCTCTGCCACCTTGCACGGCAACGACACGATACCCAGGCCTTTAGGCCTTGATGATAAATGACGAATAGAAGAGAAGTCCGGAAGATGCCGGATTAGGTAAGCGATCTGGATCGCTTACATGATATGACGACACAGGTCTAGAAGACCTATATATGTTATCAAGATAGAAGGCAAGCCTCGTGTTGCCTCATGTACTGATAGAAGGACGCCTCGTGGTCCTTATCCTAGATAGAAGCCTGCCTCATGCATGGTATCTCTGACTCGATAGATAAGCAGATTAGAACCCAGCTTCAAGCTGAGCTTAGATACGATAGAGTAGCCTTATATAAGGTCGACGATTAAAGTAGATGTTCCTTACTTTAATCCTACTGGGTTTTACCTCGAACTCCTTGTCTTGCTAAAGCTACCTGCTTGACATCAGATCCGTACCTTCAGAAGGACTTGAGACCCCTTCTGCCTGTAAACCGCTATCATTGTTCGCCTCCGCAAACGTACGCAACTTCTGCTCTTCTGTGGAAGCCGACCTCGGACTCTCAGCACGAGATATCACTGTCGTGATCGTCGCTGTTAGATCATCCCAGTCCGCACGCGACACACGTCGTAACATCGTCTTCTAACTGAATATCAAATCTTCAGCTGCGACTGGATTCAGTTAGAAGACAATCAGAGTAAGGGGTGAGGCACAATTGCTCTTCTCCTCAGCTCAGGTGAAATACCTGAGATACATCCCTTACTCTGATTGTCTTCTAACTGAATCCAGCCACAGCTGAAGATTTGATATTCAGTTAGAAGACAATCAGAGCAAGGGGTGAGGCGCAATTGCTACTTGCCAAAAGCCTCATCCCTTGCTCTGATTGCCTTCTAACTGAATCCAGCCTACATGCAGCTGGTATCTCAGGTATTTCACCTGAGTTGAGGAGAAGAGCAATCATGTCACCCCTTACTCTGATTGTCTGAATACCAAATCTTCAGCTGCGGCTGGATTCAGTTAAAAGAAAGACAATCAGAGTCAGAGATGAGACACAATTGCTCTTCTCCTCAGCTCAAGTGAAATACCTGAGATACCAGCTGCATGTAGGCTGGATTTAGTTAGAAGGCAATTGGAGTAATGGATGTATCTTAGGTATTTCACCTGAGCTGAGGAGAAGAGCAATTGTGCCTCACCCCTTACTCTGATTGTCTTCTAACTGAATATCAAATCTTCAGCTGTGACTGGATTCAGTTAGAAGACAATCAGAGTAACGGATGAGGCTTTGGCAAGACCCATAGCATGTATCTCAGGTATTTCACTTGAGTTGAGGAGAAGATCAATTGTGTCTCACCTCTTACTCTGATTGTCTGCTAACTGAATCCAGCCACAGCTGCATCTATTCTGTCATGTTCAAGACTAAAGGCAAGTGCACTGAGGGTACTCTCAAGCTCACCCCTATTTCAACAATATGCCACAGTGAAAATTGGTGGACATTCTAAGTTACTGCATTTGGGGGTCACATGACTTTTTGCATGAACAAGGAACCTGGCATCACAATTTTGTTGCAAATTAAAAAAACTAAGTTACATTTGGCATCATTGAATTGAAGAAAAAATAACAGAGCACAAAAATCAATACAAAGCTGCCGCAGAGGGGCCCTCTCTGCGACAGTCTAGTACTGTCATAATACAGTAATAAAAAGTACGATAAAAAAAGGAATAGCTAACTATATAACATAATCTGCAAACAGCGCAATCAGTATTTGCAAAGAGAATATCAAACAGGTTACCTTTGAGTATCGGAGCAAGCCAAAAGAAACATATCTGTAAGCTGCGGTCATTGTTTTGAGAAGAGAGAGCGATGGGAAGTACCTTATGGTGGAGCAGGTGTCATCCTTCCAGAGAAAATACAATACAAGAATGATGGGAGGAGGCGCACCAATGTGGACACTTAAACCTCCCAAGCGCAATGATGGTTAAAGGAGGGGCACACCAATGTGGACACTAAATCCTCCCCAAGCCAAGCCCCCAGTACTCAATGGTAAAAAAGGGAGGAGAAGTGCGCCAATGCGCACATAGATCTCCTCCCCAAGCCAAGCCCCCGGTACTCAATGGTAAACAAAGGGAGGAGAAGTGCACCAATGTGCACATAGATCTCCTCCCCAAGCCAAGCCCCCAGTACTCAATGATAAAAGAAAGGAGAAGTGTGCCAATGCACACATAGATCTCCCCAGTATATATAGATTTTCTAGAAAGAAGGTGTTTAGTGAAGAGATTGTTGAAAAAAAAAACAGACCTTATATGTGGAGGCGCCCCAATAGCCTCCCCAGTGAATATAAATTGACTAGAAAGAAGGTGTTTAGTGAAGAGACGGTTGAACAAAAACAGACCTTGGATCTGCAGGCGCACCAATAGCCTCCTCAGTGAATAGAAATTGGCTAGAAAGAAGGTGTTCAGTGAAGAGATGGTTGAAAAGAGGCATACCTTAGGTATCCTTTCACTGGATGAACCAAAGAAGATCAACCTATGCACCCAAATTAGAAATAGAATTGGAATTAAGAGACACATACCGCGCGGTAGAGAATGAGCGCTCAGTGAGTTGTGAGCCACTTACACAGCTGCAGTCTATGTAGGTGGCTAACAAGGTGAGCGGATGGAAGAGATGTGGTTTGAAATTGAACCGTGTGAAATTGTTGCACCTGGCTATATGTTACAACATATTTGATGTTGTTTGTCGTGGAAAATGCCAGTGTGACATGATCACATGACTGGTTGGTTTGAAAATTCGCAAAGTCCTTTGTACTGCATTGTTTGGCATGGAAAATGCTGGCGCAACCACGGACACGATCACATGACTGGTTGATTTGAAAATTCTCAAAGTCCTTTGTGCTGCAGTTGTCTTTATGCCACCTAGAAAGAAGAACACGGCAAAGAAGTCCTGTGGCGGTTCTGCCAAGAAACTTTTGGCACCTGTCAGCTCTCCTCTGGTGCCCGCTGCATCACACACTGAATCGTCCATGTCATCCTTGGAGCCGGAAGACACTAGGACAACTGAAGATCACAGTATAGTAAGTTTTTTTGCCTACTTCAAGTGTTTCATTGACTGACTGTGGGTCAGTGGTGTTTGATTTGTCGCGATGGCATGGAAGGTGACATTGTACTTTTTGAATGCAACGCGTGCCCCTGCATCATGTGCAGCAAATGCATTGAGGTGCCCAAGGCCCATATCGATGATGTCTGACATACGGACATAATGTTTTTATGTCTTGCTTGTCACTCATTGCGGACGATCAAGGAGCCCACACCATATTTTGTGAGTCTTTCTTTATTATTCAAATTTTAAATTGATTGACTGTTCAGGGCTTCTATCATAACATTTTGCCAGAGCAAGGAGGAACACCTGTACTCCCAGGCTTCCTGCAGCTCAAGGGCAAGTACGAGCTGGCATCTAGCTCCATCTTGGCAGCCACACCCCTTGCCATCGTCCATTTTATCCTTGGTGGCAAGGACAGAATCCCAACACCCGTTCCACTCCTCTCCCATTACCTCGACAAGTTCTACCCCAGCGGCGGGTTTCTGTACATCGAGATCTTGTTCGACGTTGCTTCATATCAGCAGATCGACAACTACACCTGCAACCAGGTCCGAACAGTTTCTGAGCTCACCAGTCACCTTGATTCCACCGGTTGCGTCTTTGCGTTTCTCTCCAACCATTCGGAAGAAGACAGTGGGTGGCTCTTTGCAGGGAAGGAGGGTCAAGGTGAGGGAGAGTATGTTGCGATGAAAGTTCAGCATGTAAGTTTGAAATTTTGGACGTTTTAACGTTATGAATTAATGTATCCTAGGTTCTCTCTACAGTGTTAAAGCCCTATGCTAGGATCCTCAAGTCCTCCCACATCGTCTTCCTGGTCTGCGGCTCTGTGGTGGCGCACGAGACACCCTACACTCAGCTCAAGGAGGCCATTCTTCAATTCGACTTCGTGGGTGCAATCATCTTTCCGCACCTCGCTTTCAACCTCTTGTTGCCACAAATTTTTTGGTTGCCATGATGGAACTTGTCACGATTGAGCAACTCAGCATCCGCAGTGTGTTTCCCACTCTCCTTAGTATGTCAGGTTGCCTCGGTCAGCACACCAGCATCATCCTGATGACTCGAGTCAACATTGAAGGTTGCTGCAAACTGGAACTGACTACATTTGCGCGCGCTCACACTGAGACTTCACCTTGGGGCCTGGATATTCCTGCACAGTGCCCCCAATGCGGCTCTACCAAGAGCTGGGCCGAGAGGGTCGCTGTGACGGTTGCTGATAAGAGTCACGACGAGGACGCCCCAGACTGTGTCTCTGTTTGCTGATACATCTACACATGCAAGTACTCCAACTGTGGTAGCATGCAATAGTTGCCTCCCTACAAGTTGTCCGTCACCAAGCCTCCTGGGTCAATTGTCAACAGCGCAAAGACCAAGAACTGCGCTTGGTTCCAGTCACCTTCTACTCATTTTGTACTTCAGTCTTCAGCTGTGTCTACCCAAGGCAAGCACATGAATGAGGGGGTGCCTACTGGGACTGCCAAGAAGGCGCGCAGGTGAATTGGGTATTTACTTGACAGTGTATGTACATAATTTGAATTGAGTTATCACTTTGTCACACGGTTGATTTGGTAATGATGCGTCTTGGTTTGCATGCACGTGATCGCGTCTCTTTCAAAATTTCAACTTTTTGGCCTGGTCTAAGTTTACGCAACACATACCCACCCTTGCCGAAAGCTCCTGACTTATACAATGTGTCATCAATGGCTGAATGGTATGCTTCTTGGGAGGGAGTACTGACTCTCCACAAAGATCAGTTTGTAAATGGGAAGAATTTCCGTCACAATTTGCTGAGACAGATCCGCAATGAAATTGTCGCAATTCATCACACAAGAGAGGATCCCGAGGATTTACCAAAGGAATTGAAAAAGGTACTGTTCATTCTGAGTATACAATGGTGCTGACATACTTGATATATATGCTATCCGGAGGTACTACCTCCAGTTCTTAACAGATGCTGATGATCGGCGTGATGAGCAACAGATATTGGGAGATGACTCAGAGCTGGAGGAAGAACTTGGCATGTCCCCTGAGGACAGAGAGTTGGTGGCTCATCCTAAGGATGCAGGGTTCTACAAGAAGGAGCTTAATGCTTGGGACGTCGCACAGAAACTCTTTAAGCAGGAGATGGACGACTACGATAAGGAGCAGCAACAGAAGAAAGGCATACAACATTCTATTAAGTATAGGACTGGACATGCGAGGGAATGGTTCAACAGCATGAGCTCTGCACATCGGAAGGAGGTTGAGGAGGCGAGGGACAAGTGGAATAGGGATGGCACCCCAGCAGAATCACAGGCAATGTAAATTGTCATTTTTTGTTCAATTTCTACTCTAACTATATTGGCAGGTATCAAATAAAAAACCTCAAAAAAGTTTTTGATGATTTTACAGAACAGATGCGTCGTACTATGGGTTACCAACTCATGATGTTGGCCAGTCACAAGAAAAATGCCGATCAGACTTTAAGTGTCAAGATGTGAGTATTTATACACTCTCCTCAGTGTAAACTAACAATGTTATTGTTATTCAGTCATGAGTCTCAGCCTGTCAATCAGAAGAAATCATTTAGCCAGAGTTCTCGAGGAAGCAAAGAATGGACGTCTGAAGGTTTTGAAAAATATGCCAAGTGGTCAAAGGCTGAATTCTGTGAGTTTGTATTTTTTTTGGATCGGTTCAGACTGCTCAATGACCGTGTATCAGACCCCACCAATGATGATGATGACTCCTCCAATGAAGAAATGAATGATGGAAAGGATGCAATGCCCGAAGTCATCCTGGATAACCATGGTTACACAAAGCTCCCTTCTCATAAGGAAGTGAGCCTCAAGGGGCAACAAGAACTGGTTCAGCAAATTTTTCATGCATCTTACAGCGAGTTGTTGATTACTTCGTCTTTGTCGATTTTAACTTGACTCACCTTCTGTTTTTCAGAAGTCTTCACTGGTAGCATGAAGCCAGTACCTTGGCTCTCAATCGCCGGTGAGCCTTTGCTGTACCTGGATCCAGACTCCATCTGCAATGGTTTTTCCGTGCAAGACCCATCTCATTTGAGAGTGAAGGAAATCAACAAACTTTGGGGCCATTGGGAAGCACGGAAGGCTTCGAAGCAGAGACTCATTATTTTTGTCGGAGCTGCAAGTGCCCACATGAACAAGTCCCTGCTCAAAAATGCTGTTTATGTAGGCGAGAAGAAATCAAAAAAGAAGTACGTAGAAGTCGACGATGAAGAAGGAGCCTCAGCTGCCCCTACACCTGTGAAACATACAAGACGGCTGGCCGAGGACAGCTCCGAGGACAGCTCTGATGATAATCTAGCTCCATCAGCAGGCCTCATCGCTCGACCGTCAGTTGCTCAAGAAGGCATACGCACACCAGCTACTGTGCCAATGAAAGATCGAATGTCATTCTTATGATCCCTCAGCAGCAACAGAGAGTATCTGCTTTTCATTTCGAGTATTGGTGGCTTGAAAAAGGTATGCTTGTGATTTTTACCTAGATTGGTGAAACTTGACACTCACCCGATGCAGGAACAAAGCTCTGAGGCAACCGAATGGCCTGCATGGGCGACATGGTCTTGGGAGGGATCGCACCTTCCAAACAGTGTACACTCAGAGGTTAGTGAGTTGGACACATTCTTTGAGATAGTCTCGTCTGCGAAGATATCTGGCTTGGCGTCAGCCATGAAGGTCGGCCTAGGTCTCGGGATGCTGCTAAGAGAATGTAAGTGAGTCATCGAGTATGAGGCGGACGATGCTACTCCCAACACCCCCTCTTACCTTGGCACCTCTATTTTGGGTATCAAGACCCTCGACCTCGTTATAGAGGCAATAAACACAGCCAGAGGTGGGGTCACCCGCATGGTCAAGGCGAAGGAGGGACAACATGCTGCCATTACTGAGGCTGGTGGAGAAGAACATGATACCGATACTGCCGCTCAGACTATTTCGACCAGGGAAGAGGAAGTGGATGACGAGAAAAAAAGGAAGGAAGATGAGATGAGAAGGAAGGTTGAAGAGGAACTTCGCGAGACAGAGGAACAGAAGAAGAAAATGGCAATGCTGCAGGAGGACATGAGAAAGCTGGAGGAGGAGAACCAGAAGCTGTTGAAACTGGTGGAAGTGGTGAACGAAAAGGACAGTGAGGGTAAGGAGCCAGAGAAGGCTGAGGAGGAGGAGGAGGAGGTAGTGCAGAAACGGAAGAAAAGAGGAAAGTCTGGGGGATCTGGAAGACCATCCAAAAAGGCTACCACTGACAATATTCGTTGATCCAGCAGAGCCAGACAGCCGTCCAAAAAGGCCATGCACAAGTGACATAGCATAGCACATTGTATTGTTGCTGTTTTCATTCGTAAATCTAGTGGATATTACTAGGCAAAGTAATATACATTATAAGGTGGCCAGTATATAGTTGACATGGCCACTCAAGATCCTTAGACCTCATCTACAAGCAGGAGGCTGGCTGAACTGGCCAGTACTTGCTCTACATGACCGGCCAGCACCTTTATACATGCCAGTACCTACCCTATACCCCCGGCCGGGACTCTTATACTGTGCTGGCCAGTACTTGCACTACATGACCGGCCAGCACATTTATACATGCCAGTACCTGCCCTATACCCCCAGCCAGGGCTGTTATACAGTACTGGCCAGCACAGTATAAGAGTCCTGGCCAGGGGTATAGGGCAGTATAGGGCACCAGTACTTCTCTACATGACCAGCCAGCATCTTTATACATGCCAGTACCTGTCCTCTACCCCAGGCCGGGGCTCTTATACTGCTCAGTATAAGAGCCCCAGCCTGGGGTAGAGGGCAGGTACTGGCATGCACATAATTCAGTACTTTATTTTCGACTTAGTCGGACAGCCAAAGGTTGAGAATTGACCCAGTTAGGCGGGCCATCCAACGTGGGCCCATGTGTACTTATGCACGGATGGGCCCACAGTGTGGAATAGCGCCCATGCTAGCAGGTGGGCCAAGTGTCGATGTCATAGCATGAATGGGACAATTGTAATGGGCCACAAGGTACATGGGCCCAGTTATATATCTTGGAAGGGGGGTACAGATGGGCCTAGCTACTTATTCTTGGGGAAATTTGATGTCGGAAGAGCCAACAGGAAAATTTTGAGCCCATAATAGTATCAGGCATGGCTGGCGAATGGGCTCAGCTCATGTCGGAATAGCTTACGGATGAGCCCAGCTGGTTATTGACAGTATCAGAAGAGGGCACAAGTGAGCCGACTGGTCATTCCTGGGCCCATCACAATACTGGGAAGGGTTAGTGGATGGGCCAACTGGTTATTTTGGGCCCAGTAGATACCAATCCAGTGTGCGGTGTAGATGAGGAATCTTGACTATACGTGAAAACACTTAAAACAAAAGGGGTGCTCAACAGCAAGACCGGGATACGAGACAACGACTCGACCCAAAGGACAACCACTGAGAGAAGTTCCTCGAAATAAAGTGGAGGGAAACTCTGTGAGCTAGGCGGGCGCTAATAGGCGCGAGAAGATAACGCGCGCGAGATGCGCGCGTGAGCGGGAAGTCCGAGAATGCGCGCGCGCGAAGCGAAGGCGCGCCTAAAGCATTAGAGGCAAGATCTTACTGAGGAGTGAGTGCAAAGGTGGAGGATTGACAGGAGGATATGATCAGATAACAAGTGGGGAGGTGATCTATTCACTTTCCAGTACACAAAGATAAGGGAAAAGTAAATACCAGAACCAAAGGAAACCCTTCTGTATTTAAGAATGGAGAAGGCGCGCTTCCGAGTGCGCTCCCGAACCGAGTAACCATATCAACTCTAATTATAACTAAGTTTAAATAAACTTTCCATAAGTAGCGCGGATGTCAGACCGAAGATTTTATTAGTTCAATGGATAAGATAGAAATAACGCACCAGCGAATCAGTAAGGACATGGGACGGATGGACGGACGATAGCGCGAAGACCTATGAGGAGGCGCGCGAACGCGCGCGCAAAGCGCGCATAGCACGTGCGTAGGTAAGGCGCGCCTAAGTGCGCGCGAGTTCGCGCGAGACTGGTCCTTAGGAGTAGAGCTGTAACATATAGGAATGTATGGTTAAAGGCCGGATATTCGTCATTGAGACACGCGAGTCTCTACATCTCCTGGGGACTTACATTCTGAGTGTCCCCACTCAGTGCTATAGCGCGGGATCTTGGACTTAGAGAGGTGGTGATAGACAGGGATCAGGTGATCACGAGAGTAGGGTTGTCCATTGATGATCGCGAGCATCGATGATGTAATCGGGGGAGATGTTGATAAGAAGATGGACGCGTTCTCGCGATCTCTTAACTTCTTTCTTATCAATCTCTCACCATGCCTACTTTCAATGTTGCTATGCTGAACGCCACTCCTTCCCCTGAGCCTGTTCCAGTGGCGCAAGGGCTTCCTGAGGACGCGCCTATGGGCGACGCTAGCGCGGAATCCGATACTGATCGCCTCTTCACCGCTTGGGCCTCCATCTTAGTCTCCCTGGAGGGATGCGTGATGTCCGCACCTGAACTCAAGGCGGAACTCCTCGAGGATCAAGAGATGTGGTTGCGCGAGTGGTATTCTGTGCTGGTGAGTGCGCTTACATGTATTGGACTTGGTTATGGACTGACACTCCTAGGCTACTTTGAACGGTTGTTCTACGCGCGCGGGTGTGTTAGTGGTGGCGCTGGAGATGGATGACAAGAGCACGGAATTGTTAAAGCAGGGGCGGAAGAGTTGTAAGGAGATTGAGGTGGTGGTGAAGGACTGGAAGGCGAAGGCGATTGCGTCAGTTCCTCAGGCGCCTCCCATGCAGGCTGCACGCGCCACTGGCGCCTCCGAACTCGAGGCGCGCGCCACTGACGCGTCTGGTACTGATGCCAGCAAGAAGGTACGCCTTCTGTTTCCTGTTGGCGTGCCTCTCTATTAACATGTTTGGTTGCGCTAGGCGCGCGTCGGGCGCATGTCTATGAACAAAGCGTGGCGCTGTGGCGCCTGCATTGCCAAGGACATTGACTGTGGAGGTGCGCCTGGTCGCCGGTGCCCTCCTTGTGATGTGTCCAAGCGCGCTTGCACTTTCTGTAAGTCGCGCCTCTTGTCTTTTATTGGCGCGCGCCGCTGACTGCTGTGGATTAGCTAAGCGCAACCTTACTGATGCGCCTAAGGCGCGCCCGCGCAAACCGATGCCTAAGCGCCCTATTGCTGAGTCTGCAAAGGAGACCGCTTCCTCCATCGCTATTGAGGATGAAGAAGAATCTGAGGAGTCTGAGATGGATGTGGAGATTGTTGGAGAGCGCTCTGTGGAGGAGAAAGTCGTGCGCGCCTCGCACGATATTCCAGTGCGTGCCGTTGGTCCTTTGGCGTCTGGTTCTGCGCCTAAGGGAAAGGACAAGTTCAAGGATCCAGTGGTGGAGTTGAAGGAAGCGCGCGCCAAAGCCGCGCGTTTGAAGGAGGAAAATGCACACTTGCGCACTTCCACTCTCCAGATGCGCCAGTATGCGCGTGCCCAACAGGCGGACCTCCTCAATTATTCCAACAAGTTTTTCGCCATGTCCAACGCTTGGGCTGAATTGGAGAGGCAGATCAATGACTCTCTTAAGTAGATGTACCTCTCTTTTGTTTTCCTTGTCTCTTAAGCGCCAATGCGCCTGTGTACTCCTTTTGAGCGCCAATGCGCCTGTACAATGTATCCTGTGTTGCCTTGTCCATGTCCATGTCCTTATCTGATTCACTGGGCTTAAGAAATTAGAATGATAAGTATGTAAGTAAATGACAAGCGTGCAACGAGATCAAGGTAATGCAATGGACTTTACTGAATTTTCTGCGGGGTGCGCGCCCGTCTTGTCTTCTTCGCGCGCCTTCCATCATCTATTCCTGCCGTGTTGCGTCGCGCGCGTCGAAGCGATAACGCGCGCGCGCTTAAATGAAAGTTAGAAAAAAAGGTGCGTGGCGCCGCGCGCGCGTTAGAAAGTGAAAGTCTAATGAGGTGATTATGCGCGCGCTATACAATTAAGGTAGTGATCAGTATGTACTTGCGGGGTATTAGCGTGTTTCTTGGTGCGTTTGTTATATTCTAGAGTCTGTGGGGTTTATGTGCAGGCAATGCGCGTTATATGAACAAATGATATGAGAGATATCACCGGACGAAACCCGGGGTAACACTGAGAGTATGTACTTAATGGAATATTTTTGTGTTCTTCGTATTATCTGGTGTTTTTGTTTTTATGTTTTTGAGGGGTGCGCGTTCGCGCGAATATGATTGAGTGATGTGCGGGCGTGTGGAATATGGTCGCGCGCGCTAATCGTCTTGCACGCGCTCTGGCTCGTCTTCGTCAGGTTCTACGGTTTCATACGCTTCTAGTTCGTCGATGCTCTCGTCGTCTACTCCAGTCATTTGGGTTACCGATACGCGCTCCTCGCTACGCAGGTAGTAAGGAATGACACGAAATGCGGCGAACCGAAGTTTTGAGATCGCGCCGTCCAACTCGGCCAACATATATGAGCCTCCCTTCGTGCGACGCACTACGATCATAGGTCCCAAATAGCGTGGCTTCGTCTTCTTGCTCAGCTTGTATTCGACTTTCGAGTTGCGTACCAATACTAAGGCGCCGGGTTCGAAGTCGTGCGATTTGATAGACGCGCGGAAGCGTCTCTCAAAATCGCGTATGGACTTGTAGCGCGCCGCGACAACTTTATCCCTAATCGCGTTAATATCTTCTACGCGCTTCTGCAATTGGCGTGCGCGCCATGCTATAAGATCAGTAGTGGTGAACGTGCCTCGGCTTGGTAAGGGCGCGAGGAACATTGCTTCTGCAAGATCAAAGGGAAATATCGGCTCGACGCCATGCATCATGAAATAGGGCGATAAACCCGTCGCTTTATGAATGGTGACGTGTTCGGCCCAGAAAACTGAATGAACTACCTGATACCAGCGAGAATCATCTCCGTCGCAGCTTTTAATGATGGCCTCCCGGACATCATGGTGTTGTCTTTCGACTATACCGTTTGCCTGAGAATTATATGGCGAGATGCGGATCGGGTGAATCCCGTATTTGCGCGCAAGTTCGTCTACTGCGAGCCTATATGCGGGCGCATTGTCCGTCACTATCTCTGTGATCGGGCCCCACCTACACAAGAGCTCCTCGAAAATAAAAGCGGTTAGCGCGTTAGTATTTTCTTTGCGCAGCATGCGCCATTCCGGATACGACGTTAGCGCGCATCGCGCTTGCACGAGGTATTCATATCTGCCCGCTCTGGGCATCTTCATCGTGTCGATG